GTTAAATGCAACAGGGGGCCAAATAAAGAAATGTGTTACTTGTTGATAGAATGCTTCCAATTCAATGGGCTCCTAAATCTTCATCTCTAATGCAGATATTTTCCTTATGAGCACCAAACTTGGATATCTGAGTCATTGCTGGCCATCTTTACGTTGACATCCACGCACAATGTCCTATGTCCCCAAATGAACATATTATCTTTCCCCAAAACCTGGCCCTACTCTTCTCTTCTGTATTTTAGTAAATGACAATACTGACTCTGGTTAACAACCTAGAAACCTAAGAGTAATTCTAGATTAGTCCCTACTTTCTCAGCCACACAATCAACCAATCACCTCACGCTGTTTTTTCTACTTCCTTATCGCTCTCAAATCTCTCCACTCTGATCAACTTTCTCTGTTATAACCCTACATCTCTCGTGGGAAATTCGAATAACCTACTAACTGGTCTGCTCAATCCACTCTTGCTCCCCTACAGACTTTTATCCAAAATTAGCCAGGCAGATTTTTTTTTTTGCATTTATAATTGTTTTTGAGACAGAGTCTCACCATGCTGCCCAGGCTATTTTTGAACTGGGCTCAAGCGATCCTCCTGCCTTGGCATCCCAAATAGCTGGGATTACAGGCATGTGCCACCATGCCCAACTCATTTGTAAGTTTTAATTAAAATGTATTTTCCATTTACATTCAGAAAAATTCACTCTTCTGGTGTCCAGCTTGATGAGTTTTAACAATGTACAGAGTTATACAACCACTACCACAATTAAGACACAGAACAGTTCCATCACTACCCCAAAAAACTTCTCTCATGCTACCTCTTTGTAATCAAAACTCCTTCCCACACATATGATCCCTTGCAACCACTGATCTTTTTTTCATCCCTACTGGTTTCCCATTTCTAGGATGTCATAGCAATGAAATAAGAGTATGTAGCCTTTTCAGATGGGCTTCTTTCACTCAGGATGATACAGCTGTGATTCATCCATGATGTTGTGTGTATCAAGATTTTGTTCTTTTTGTTACTGAGAAGTATTCCATTGGATGGATAGGTCAGAGTTTATCCGTTTCTAAATTAAGGGATGTTTGGGTTGTTTCCAGTTTTTATTGGACAATTATGAATAAAGCTATATAAACATTGACTACAAACTTTTGTATGAACATGTGCTTTCATTCACTTGGGTAAATACCTAGGAATAGGACTGCTGGGTCACATAAGAAGTGTATATTTAACTTTATTAAAAATACTGCCAAAATATCTTACAAAATGACAGTACCATTTTGCATTCCCAGCAGCACTGGATGAGGGTTCTAGTAGCTCCACAGCCTCACCAGCACTTGGTTTGTCAGTTCTTTCCTCTTTTCTTTATTTTTTAATGTTCTAGTAGATATGCAGTAGTGTCTCATTATGGTTTCAAAGTGCATTTCCGAAACAACTAATGATGCTAGGTATTTTTTCATGTGCTTATTTGTCTTAGGTATATATGTTCTGTGTATCCTCTTTGGTCCATTATGTATCTTCTTTGGTGAAATATCTGTTCAAATATTTTATCCATTTTCTTAATTGAATTGTTTGATCTTATTGTTGAGTTTTGAGAGTTTCTCATGTATTCTAAATACAGTTCCTTTTCCAAATATCTGACTACAAATAATTTCTCCCAGTCTATAGCTTATACTTTTATTCTTTTAATAGTATTTTTTGCAAAGGAAATGTTTTTAATTTGTATAAAGCCAATATATATTTTTCTTTTATGCATCATGCTTTTGGCATATCTAAAACCTTTCTGCCTAACCAAAGACCACATGGATTTTTCTCCTATGTTTTAATTTAGAATTTTATGATTTTATGCTTTTCACTTATGTCTGTGATCCATTTTGAGCTAATTTGTGATGAGATTTGAGGTATAAGTCAAAGTTCTTTTTTTGCATATGGATGTCTGATTGTTTAAGTACTATTTGTTGAAAAGACTATTCTTTCTCCATTGAATTGCCATTGAAGTTTTGTCAAAAATCAATTATTCATATGTGTGTGGATCTATTTATAGGTTCCCTATTTTTTTTTCTGTTGATCTATGGGTCAGTTCCTCCATCAACATCACACTGGTTTGTTTATTTTAGCTTTATATAAGTCTTACAAGCAGGTAGTATGACTTTTCCAACTTTGTTCTTCTTTTCCAAAATGTCTTATGTCTTTCTATATGAATTATAAAATCAATGTGTTGATAACTACAAAAAAAATACCGCTGTGATTTTGATGGGACTGTATCCATAGATCAGTTTGCAGACAATTGACATTTTAATGATAGTGAGTCTTCCAATTCATAACTATCAAATGTATTTACATTTTTTAGGTCTTTAAGTACTAGAAATAGTCAAACCCATAGAAGCAGAGAATAGAATGATGGTTGCCAGGGGCCGAAGGAGGAGGAAAAGTGGTATTGTTGCTCAATAGGTATGAAGTTTCAATTATGCAGATGAATAAGTTCTAGAGATTTGTTGCACAACATAGTGCCTTTTGTGCACTTTACAGTTTTTAAGAGGATAGCTCTCATGTGAGACAATTTTACCACATTAATTGAAAAGACACATGGAACACAAGGAAACTTTTGGAAGTGATAAATATGTTTATTACCTTGATTATGGTTATGGTTTCATGGGTTTATACATGTGTTCAAACTCGTCAAATTGTATACATTAAACGTGCAGTTTTTGTATGTCAATTGTACTTTAGTAAAGCTAATAAAAATGTAAGTTTTCAAATATTAATTGCTGATATATAGAAATACAATTAATTTCTATATAAAGACCTTTTACACTGTGACCTTGCACTGTGACTCTCAAATTGAGTACGTGTAAGATTTCATTGGATATATTTTAGATTTCATTGGAATTTTTTACTTCGATAGTGATGCTGTCTCCTAATACAGTTTTAGTTCTTCTTTTCCAATGTATATGCATTTTCTTTCTTTTCCCTTATTGCACTTGCTATGATTTCAAGTATGATATTGAATAGGAGTGGCGAAAGCAGACATCTTTACCTTATTCTCATTCTAGAGGAAAAGCATTCAATCTTTCACCATTAGGTATGATACTAACTTTAGGATTTTTATAGATGCTCTTTATCAGGATGTAGGAATTACTTTTTATTCCTGGTTTGCGAAGATTTTTTTAAATCGTAAATGGGTATTGGATTTTGTCAAATACTTTTTCTGCATCGACTGATATGACTGTGTGATTTTTTTCTTTAGTATGTTATATTGGCTGACTTTTGAATGTTGAAGCAGCCTTGTATTTCCAGGATAAACCTCACTTGGTCATGATGCATTATCCTTTTAATATATCATTGAATTTAATTTGCCAGTATTTTGGTGAGAACTTTTACATTTATGTTCATGAGGAATACTGGTCTGTAGTTTTCCTTTATTGTAATGACTGTCTAGTTTTGGTAATTAGGTTAGTACTGATGATAAAATGAGTTTGGAAGAATTTCCACCTCTTCTATTTTCTGAAGAATTTGTGTGATGGAGTGAGTCTTGTTTCTCCTTTGAATGTTTGGGAGAATTTAGCAATGAGACCATCTGAACTTGAAGTTTTATTTTGTGGAAGGATTTAAACTATGAATTCAATTTCTTTAATATAAATATGACTTTTTAGGTTGCCTGTTTCTTCTTAAGTGATTTCTCTAAATTTGTATCTTTCAGGGAATTTGTTTTATCTAAACTGTTATATTTATGACCATCGAGTTGTCCATGTTATTCCCTAATCATCCCTTTAATGTCTATAGCATCTATAGTGATAGCCTCCCTTTCATTCAAGATATCAGTAATTTGTGTCTTCTCTCCATTGGTCTGGCCAGAGGTTTGTCAATTTTATTGATTTTTATAAAGAAATGGCTTTTTGGCCAGATGTGGTGATGCATGCCTGCAATCCCAGCATTTTGGAAACTGAGGTGAGAGGATGGCTTAAGGCCAGGAGTTTGGGGACAGCCTGGGTAACATATGCCATCTGTACAGAATTTTTTTTTTAAATTAGCTGGGCATGGTGGCATGCACCTGTAGTCCTTGCTACTCAGGAGGCTGAGGAAGGAGGACTGCTTGAGCCCAGGAGTTCAAGGCTGCAGTGAATCATGATCAAACCACTGTACTCCAGTCTGGGTGACAGAGTGAGAACCTGTCACTAAAAAAGAAAGAGTTTTTTGTTTCAGTGATTTTTTTCCCTAATAATTTTGTTTTCAATTTCACTGATTTGTGCTCTTTAGTATTTCTTTACTTTGGCATTCCGTTTGCTTTGGATTTACATTTTATAGTTGTAGGTTCACAAGATAGAAATTTATATCACTGATTTCAGGTTTCCCTTTTTTTCCAACATAAGCATTACATATTATTAAATTGTCCCCAAAGCACCAGGGGCAAGCTACTTCTGTTGCCGTGCCCTGAGTAGCCAACTATTCTTTCACAAATTTTCTTGACAATGAAGTGGGCTAATCACTGTTGGGTCTGTAGCCTCCAAACACCATTGTTTCAGTCCTTGGGGTGGGGGGGTGTTGTCATCAGCTTTTAGTAGAATGAGATTTTTGGACCCTTTGAAGGTCCTTTAGTTGTTTACAGTATAGGCAGGATGCAAGAAACGTCACTATGAGGTAGGTGGCTCAGAGGTGATATATTTGTCTCGCTTTTTAGAGAGTTGATACTATTATCCCACATATATCACACCATCTAGGTTCTGGCAATCTATATGCTGATATTGCTGACCTACCCCTGCCCCCCCGACAAATAAATACGAAACCACCAGGCCTTTTATTTTCTTACTAGTGAGACAGTGATAAGGAAGAAATTTGTTTTCAGTGCTCAGTGCTAACCTAGTCCTTATGCCTCAGTGTCTGGTTAACTGTGGACCTGTCCTTCTGGCCCCAACCCCGCAACACCCACCTCTCTCCCTTCCCACACACCTCCTCTTCCCTCCTTCCTCCCTCACCACCATCCTAGAACATGAAGACACTCACATCATTTTACAACAGATTCATTTTATTTTCATCACCATGGGGCGTACCCTGTGGGGTGTAGAATGTATTCTAGACCCTGCTGGCTATTTCTCTGGGGCCAGATCTCTGGAGACCTCTCAGATAGATCTAGGCCTCTGAACTTGCCTTGAAATCACTGGCTGTCCAGGGAGACGCTGGAGATTGTGGAGGTCTCCTGGCTAATTTGGTCCTGCTGTGGCTCATTTTGAGTGAGCTTCCCATTCAGCTGGTCATAGTGGCTGGATAGTGTTGGCCTGTTGCCTTCCTCAGGTTTTCTTGAAGCGGTAGTCTTTTTGGGAGTGGCTTTTTTCCTGGAACTTTCTCGAAGGGTCCCTTTTCCCTTCCAAGTTGCCTTTGGAACCTGGAAGGACAACAGGGAGATCACAAAAGGGCACTGGTTTTGGGAAAGAGGATGGAAGAGGGGTGGGAATGGGGGTTTCATTGATAAAGGGTGCAGGCTGGGGTGGGGATTGTGCCAGGTGAGGACAGGGTAAGGCGTCTTGGGCGGGAGGAATCAAGGGGTAGATGAGGAGGAGCCTGGGTTGGTCACTCACCTTCAGAGGGCTTCTGGACCTTGGTTAAGAGGGGGCCCTTCCTGTTCCACACCTCTTTTTTTTTTTGGCCTTCTGAAGAAATGTAACTTACCTTAAGGGAAAACACTCATAGAATTATTTTTCATGAATAGTTCTAACAAGCTTCCAGCTTCTTGGAGGAGACACTTTGTGATCAATTTCAGTCCCTCCCTAGGTAGAGGGTGTCTCATTCAGGTTTTTGTCCCTGGAAGAAAGAAATGATAGAGTTAGCCACAGGCCAGAGTCGCTGTATTAATATCATACAAAGTAGATTTCAGAGGAAAAAACATCATCAAGAACAAATAAGTCATTTCATAATAAAGTTGTCAATCAAGAGAACAAAATACTTTAAACTTTTATGCCTGCAATAAGATCAAAATATATGAAATAAACAATGATAGGACTACAAGAAGAAGTAGACAAGTCCATAATCATAGTCAGAGATTTCAATACCCTTCTCTCAATAAGTGAAAAAATAAGTAGACAGAAAATTAGTAAAGACATAGAAAATTTGAACTGCACTAGCCATTAAATTGACCTAATTTACATTTACAGAATAATCCCAATAACATCAGAATTTGTACTATTTTCAAATGCGTATGAGATATTTATCAAGGTACATAATATTGTGGGTCATAAGTAAAATCTCAATAAATTTAAAATCTAAGTCATGCAAAGTTTGTTCTCTGACCACAATAAAATTGAATTTGAAATCAATAAGGGAAACATATCTGGAAAAAACCCAAATATTTGGAGAACTAAGTAATATACTCCTAAGTAACTTATGGGGCAAAGAAGAAATCAAAGGAAAATGATCATATATTTTAACCAGAATGAAAATGAGAATAAAACATAACAATTATGTGATGATACCAAAGTAGCACTTATAAGGAAATTTATATTACTAAATGCTTATATTTGAAAAGAAATATCTCAAATCAACAGCCTTAGCTTTTCCTTTAAGAACCTAGGAAAAGAAGAGCCCATGAAACCCAAAGAAAGTACAAAAAGGGAAATAAAGATCACAGCAACATCAATGAAATAGAAAAACAGTAGAGACAATCAATGAAACCAAAAGGGGATGCTTTGGGAAGAACAATTAAATTGATAAACTTCTAACAAGAGAGATGAGAAAAAAAGATAAAAGATACAAATTAACCAATAGCAGAAATCAGAATGGTGGTATCACTACAGATTCTAAAGATAATGAAATTATAAGAAAATAATAGGAACAATGTGCAGCAATAAATTTGACAACTTAGAGGAAATAGACAAACTCCTGAAAGACACAAAGTACCAAAGCTCACTCAAGAAGAAATATATAACCCAAATAACCCTATAACCATTAATGAAATTGAACTTGCAGTTTTAAGTATTCTCAGGAAGAAAATTTCAAGGCCAGATGGCTTCACTCCTCAATTCTACCAAATGTTTAAGGAAAAATTGACAGCAATCCTTCAGAAACTCTTCCAAAAATAAATAAATAAATAAGGAAGGAAGGAAGGAAAGAAGGAAGGAAGGAACACTTTCCAAAGTTATTCTTTGAGGGTAATATTACCCTGAAACCAAAACCAAAGACATCACAGGAGAGAAAAACTGCAGATCAAGAGCCCTTACGAATAAAGGCTCAGATATTCTCAACAAAATACTAGCAAACTGAATCCAGCAAACTGTAAAAAGTATTATACCCCGTGATCAAGTGCAGTTTATCTTAGAAGTGCAATATTTGTTTAATATCCAAAAATCAATTAATGTAATACCCTCATATTCATTGATTAAAGGGAAATATATATAATCATCTAAATGACAAAATGCAAATCTTTTCATGATGCACTCAAATCAGGAATAGAAGGGAAGTGTTCCTCAACCTGATGATGGCAATGTACAAAACACTACAGCTAACATCATACTTAAAGGGGAAAGACAAAGCTTTCTCCTTAAGATCGGGAATAAGACAAGAATGTCTGCTTTTACCACTTCTATTCAACAGGATTATTAGGAAAGAAACAAATGAAAGGCATCCAAATTGGAAAAAAAAAATAAGTAAAATTGCCTTTATTTGCAGATGACACACTACTAAAACTAGTAAATTTAGCAATGTTGCAGAATACAAAATCAATATACAAAAATCAATTTTATTTCTATTGGTATCAATGACCAATCAAGTGGTGAAATTAAAAATTCACAATAGCATCTAAAATGATATACCTAGACAAAAGTTTAATAATATAGTGAAGGATCTGTGCACTGAAAAGTATAAAATGTTGCTGACATAAAGAAGTTTTAAATAAATGGAGATACAGCCCTCATTCACAGGTCAGAAGACTCAATATTGTTAAGATGCCAAGTCTTCTCAAATTGGTCTACAGATTCAACACCATCCCAATCATTATCCCATCAGTGTTTTTGTAAAAATTGGCAATATGATCCTAAAATTCAAATGAAAATACAAAAGACCAGAGCAACTTTAGAAAAAAATTAATTTACAGGATGAACAGGGCCTCATTTGAGGTTATTATAAAGCTACAACAGTCAAAGCAATGCAGTACCAGCGTAAGGGTCAGTGGAACAGAATGGAGAGTCCAGAAATACACTGATACATACTGTGATGGTTAATTGTATGTGTCAACTTGACTGTGCTAAGGAATGTCCAGATAGCTGGTAAAACACTATTTCTGCATGTGTCTGTGAGGATATTTCCAGGGGAGATTAGCATTTGAATCAGTAGACTGAGTAAAGAAGATCTGCCCTCACCAGTGTGGGTGGGCATCATCCAATCTTTTGAGGGCCTGAATAGAACAAAAGATAGAGAAAAGGAGAATTTGCTCTTTCTACTTGAGTTGGGCCATTCATCTTCTCTTGCCCTTGTCCTGGTTCTTGGACCTTCAGATTTGAACTGAGACTTACACCATTGACCCTCCATCCTCGGTTCTCAGGCCTTTGGACTCAGACTGAGACTTACCTCATTGACTCCCCTGATTCTCACGCCTTTGGGCTTGAGCTGGAATTGCACCAATGGCCCCCCTGAGCCTCCAGCTTGCAGATGGCAGAGCATGGGACTGTTCAGCCTACATGATTGTGTGAGCCAATCTGTCATAATAAATATCTTTATATCTATATCCTACTGGTTCTGCTTCTATGGGGAACCCTGACTGATACACATATATAGACAAATGAATTTTTTAAAAAGTGCAAAGAAAATTCAGTGGAGCAAGAGGTACTAGAAATGGTACTAGAAAACTCAGATATAGATATGCAAAAAATCCCCCAAACCTCTGATTACCCATACCTCACATTATATACAAATATTAAATAGATCACAGACCTAAATGTAAAACCTAAAAATATAAAACTTCTAGAAGAAACTAAAGGAGAAAACCACCGGGACTTCAGTTTAGACAAAGATTTGGTAGATGTGACACCAAAGCCCAATTCATAATAGATCAAATTGGTAAACTGGGCTTCATCTAAGTTAGAAACATTTACTCTTTGAAAGACACTGTTAAAGGAAGTAAAGGACAAGCAGCAGATAGGAAGAAAACCATATATGTGAAGAAAACCATATAAATGGTAGAGAAATTGTATCTAAACATATGAAGAGCCCTGAAAACTCAGTAACAAAAACCAAACAGCCCAGTTTTTAAAAACTTGGGCAAAAGATTTGAACAGACACTTCACCGAGGAAGATATATCAATGGTTAATAAGCACATGAAGAGATGCCCAAGATCACTGGGGAAATGTAAACTAAAACCAAAATGACATAAACTACACCATCATTAGAATGGCTAAAATAAAAGACTGATCATATCATATGCCTACACAGATGTAGAGGAAATGAAGCTCTCATACACAATTGGTGGGCCTGTAAAATGGCACAGGCACATTGGAAAAATTTGGTAGTTTCTTAAAGTTAAAAACATACATCTATGATATGATTTACCTATTCCACTCCTACGTATTTATCAAAAAGAAATGAAAGCACATGTTCACACAAGGGCTTGTATATAAATGTTCGTAACAGCTTTATGTGTAATAGTCCAAAACTAAAAAATTTACAGATGTCCATTAACAGATGAATGGATAAATAAATTGTGGTATGGTCATACAAACAACATACAATACTACTGCACAATAAAAAAGCAACAAAAAGGAACACATTATTGATATGTTCCACATGAATGAATCTCAAAATAATTATGCTGAGTGAAAGAAACCAGACCAAAAATTGTACACACTGTATGATTTTATTTACATAATAGTCTAGAAAATGCAAACTAATGGATAGCGACAGAAAGCAGGTAGTGGTTACCTGGGAACTGGGGGTGGGAAGGAGAAGAGTGAAGGATGACCAGGAGGCACAAGGAAAATTTGAGGAGAAGGATATGTTCACTATCTTTATTGTGATGATGGTTTCCTGGAGGTATAAATGTGTCAAAAATTATCAAACTGTACACTTTAAATATGTGCAGTTTACTGTATGTCAATTATACCTCAACAAAGCTATTAATAATAATAATGAATATAATAATAAATTATAATATTCTGTCAGACCAGACCCTTCCTTCTAAGTTTAGCCCTAACCAAGGTCCACCGGGGTAAATGGGCTACTGGTCAGGCTGATAACGACCAGAGGAAAACTATTCCCTTTATTGAGTGCTTACTTTGTCCCTGGCTTAGTGCTGGGTGCTTTCATAGGCATTATCTCATTTAAGATTCATAGCAAATGTATGTGGAAAGAAAAAGGGTCAGTGACTTACCTAAGGTCGAATAGCTTTTAAAAAGTGAAGAGCTCTTTACCATGCTGCAAAAGCCCTTCACTTCCAGTCAATGCCAACAATGCAGTCAGTGTGTAAAAAGCAAAGCTGGCCAGGCACAGTGGCTCACACCTGTAATCCCAGCACTTCGGGAGGCCGAGGCGGGTGGATCACCTGAGGTCAGGAGTTTGAGACCAGCCTCACCAACATGGCGAAACCCTGTGTCTACTAAAAATACAAAAATTAGCCAGGTGTGGTGGCAGGCATCTGTAATCCCAGCTACTCAGGAGGCTGAGGCAGGAGAATTGCTTGAACCCGGGAGGCGGAGGTTGCAGTGAGCCAAGATCAGGCCACTGCACTCCAGCCTGGGTGACAAGGGCGAAACTCTGTCTTAAAAAAAAAAAAACAAAAAAAAACCACAGCCTTCTCATATGCCAATGACTTGCTTGG